AGGCTAAATAACTTCAGCATTTTATCTGATATGATAAACTCTAGCATCTACAAAGATATTAATGATGTGAAAAAAATTTAATTCAGATTTTAAAAGCATGATTTTACATAAATTTCACCAAAAATATGTCAATAAAGCTGATTTAATGCAAGCATCTTTAGAGGTTACAGAATCAGACAGATTTTAAGACTATTTCAGCAGGTTTTCAGTAGCAGTTCATCTTTCCATTTCTGGGGTGCTGTTTGGTATTTAATAGTTATTCAGAAGTTATGGTCCCTTCTAAAATTAAAATGAGGTTTTCTTGAGCCCTGTTCCTTTCCTCCTTAAAAGTTTAATTTAAAAAGGCTTGAGTCCTTTCAAGTCTTTTCAAGTACCTCCTACCAAATTCTTTCAATTGGACCAAGGTACCTCTTGGGTATTACTTTGACAGAATGAGGTTTGCTTAATGATCATAGCATTAAAACCTCTGAAGACATGCAGTAGCACACTGCAAACATAATAATAATAATGGCCAGTCTTCGCGAGCGAAGATCCGGGGAAGGTCTTTACACCTTCCAGCCTGCGCATTGGATTTTTTAGGTGAGACACAGTGTGCGCGGAACTGAGCCCACCCTTTAATCCTAAGGTTCATCTGCCGGGGCCAAGCGAGCTTGGACGGTGGCAGCGACGTCCTTAGGACGTAGGTGGGTTGCCTTTAAGGGCTAACGAGCTCCACCTGCTCGGGAGTGGCCCTGACCTGGAATCGAACCCGGGTCTCAGCGGTGATAGCGCCGCGCCTTTACCACTAGACCACCAGGGGCTCCGCTAGACCACCAGGGGCTCCACTGCAAACATGGTGTTGAAATAAAAGGTGAAGCAGGGTTTCCTTCCTTCTTTTCTCCCTTCCTTTCCTTTCCTCCCCTCCAATACACATTCATAAACTGTCCCTTAGACATCATCTTTATTATTTTGTCAATGGACCATTTGCCCCCAAATGGTTACTCCTTAGTCATTCTATGCCCAGTCTTGTTTATGTTAATTGTGAGACATCGCAAAAATCTTCATTTGTTTCAATGGTACAGAATAAGACCATCAAAGAACAACTCATCTCTCTAGAACTCCCCAGTCATTTAAAAGTACTGCTGCCCAGCAAATTCAAAGCCACAAATGCACACAAAGCAAGCTCTTTTTTTCAGGTTTATTCCCTGGAATACATTGGTATAAAATGAGAAAAACTGGCAAATCAGTGCAACGTTTTATTTCTCCTCCTACTGGTGTAAACTCCAACACCAGCTGCAAAGCTTCCAGTGACATGACCCTACCATGATATTGCCTTCTTGGTTGTACAGGGCACTGTCATCTTTGTTCCTCCCTTTTTGTTGTCTTATTTTTCCCATCACTGCTAATTCCTATCAGATGACCTTAGATCTCACTCAGTATTACTCCTTCAAATTCTTTTGGTTCTTTCTCTGGGTCCAACGCCATGAAGAATACTTCTGGCCTGTTGCTGAATAAGTCAAACAAATGTTCTACTCCCTGAATCCAAGCATGTTACATACAAAAAAATCTGCCAATTTCTTATTAGGTCTTTCCATATTTAATTATGCCTAACTGGGTACAAAATGCATTTCACTGGTTCTGAGTACTCAGTAAGTACTCAGCAAATCAGAAGACCACGGAAGAATTTAGATGAGAAGGGTCCACAGAAGAATTTAGATAGGAAGGGACCCTGGCAGATTTCTGGCCCAACTGCCTGCTTAAAACAAGGTCAGCTATGAGATCAGATCAGGTTTCTCAAGGTTTTATCTAGCTAGGGCTTGAAACCTTCCCAGGACAGAAACTGAGCAACCTGTTCCAATGCTTGACTGCTCTCTCGGGGAAAAAGTTTCTCCTTATGTTCACCTCGGTCTTTTGTTTCAGCTCAAGTCTAGTGTCTCTCATACATCACTGCGAAGAGTCAGGTTCCATGTTTTTGACAACCTTCTTCTACACACTGGGGGCTGCTGCCAGTCCCCCCATTCCACCCTGGCAAGCTGCCTCTTCCCTGGACTGAACAAGCCCAGATCTTTCAATGGTCAAAGGGCAAGTGCTCCAGCCCTAAGCATCTTGTTGGCCCTCACCTTAACTTGCACTGGAAATCCAAGGACTGTAGTCTAAAGAGCGCAGAGTAAAAGGAATAATGACTGTCCTTGATCAGGTTACTACATTCCTGTTAACAGTGCTGTGATTCTGTCAGCATTCTTTGCTGCCAAGGCACAAAGCTGGTTCATTTCATCTTCCTGACTATCAAGACCACAGGCCCTTTTCACCAAAGCCGCTTCCCCGCCAGTCAGCCCCAGGTTGAGTGGGGTGCAAGAGGCTCGGCCTTCCCAGCTGCAGAACTTCCAATTGTCCTGGTTGAATTTCATAGGGTTCCTGTTGACACATTCCTCCAGCCTGTGTCTGGTCCCTATGCCTAAACCCCTATGGATGGCCCCTACTCTTGAGTCTCTAGACTGTTACCTCCAATTTCCTGTCATCTGTAAATCTGATGAGAGTATACTCTGTCCCAAGACATCCTCAAGATCACTGTTAATATGAAGATTTTTTTCTTAGTAGGTAAGTTTCCAGATGAAGCACTTTTTTCTTATATATCTGACTCTGCTCTTTGTCAGAAATAGAAGGTATAAAATCTTTGCAAAGAAAAGGTAATTTTGGGTTGTATTTTGTCCCCAACTCTATAAATTGTAATTAGCAACTAATAGTTTCAACCAAACACCACATTTTTCAACACCTATGGTCAACAATTGTTAGATAAGTTTGCCCAAGATTATTTTCCTGGCTTATGACCATGCCTTAGATTTTATCTTCAAATAAAGGTGAAATATCCTTTTCATGCCCCTTTCTTCAAGTTCTTTTCCATCCTATTTTTCCATATCAAAAAAGCCTGTAAAGTCATATTAATTCCTGAGAAATTTTCAACAATCACATTAGTTTTCCGTGGCCATATCTGGGAAGTTACACTATCTTGGCTTCATCTTCATATTAGTTTCCGAGTTCCTTTCTGAGCTACAAATCCCCTGTTCTATCTCTTTATCAGATTTCAAATAATCACAGTCATGGGGACCAACAGCACCGGAAATATCCTCCTGAGTTAATGATTTCATGCATAGTACTATCACAATATACTTTTATAAAATCTATACAAATATTGATCATGTTTCTTCTTCAGTAGTCGCTGAACTGAAGTTATTTTCTTTCCTGCAGATTTACTTTCTAAGACTCACACAGATATTTTCCTTTTTCCTCTTTTGTCTAAAGAAAGAAAGATTGATCTCAATTCCTGTTTTTCACAAAAGTCTATGAAGTTCAAAGTTTTGCACATCTGCAAGGAAACTACAAGGTTTCCATCTATGTTTATGTTGAAATGAAAACAACTCCCTTAATTCTAGAAACCGGCAACATGACAGCAAAACAGTATTAGAAAATACTTTAAAATAGCTTCAGTTTCTTCTGGTAGTGCTCTGGATGCAGTCAGCTCTGTACACATGGGTGGAGACACAGACTACATTCCTACAGACTGCATTCAGCAGATGGTGACTGAGAGGAAATGGGCACAATGGTTATGTACCAAATCTCAACACTTACCAAACCAATAAGAACCAGCTCTCACACGTAAGTGTGTACAGGTACTCATGGATACATAGCAAACAAAATACTGGCAGTTTAGTTTGCCAGGTTTGCAATCATTCATATGTTACCACAAAGAAAATAGTGACAGGAATCAAGGTAAAATTTGAAACACCACAAGTTCACATATACAAACAGACACTGAGTGAAACACACATTAGTTAACAATGCATTAGTGTTAAGACTGAAGTTTGTATGTGAAACTCAAATCTCTGCTTAACATAAATGTCTGAACTCCAATTCCCAGTTTTGTATACAACCACTTCAGAGAACAAATTAGTGTTCCACATTAAACTGTTTACAGATTAATTACTGTCAGGTATATGAGTAAAAGTCTTATTTAATGAAGTTATATTTGCTAAACTGATCTCTGCTCAAAGTGGTCAGCTAAAAGACAACTACAGCAAACTGAGTAGGAGTTGACAAGTCAAGCAGATCAACAAAATCAATATCAACTTCTAAAGAAGATAGGAAAATAAAATACAATTATGCTTTTAATATATTCTTTTAAAAAAAAGACACCATGTTTTGAAGGTTTGGAGGTCCTGCATGTACTTGGGAACAAACAAATATTTTTTAGACTAGACAAGGAAAGTATGTGCAACTGGGAAGCACCCTATCCAGTGAAGGAAAGGTTGTGAGAAGGAATGGTTGGTTGTACTTGAGCCACATTTGGCACAGGAATCAGTTTTGTTTACTGGAAATAATAGTTTAGATTGATACTAGGAAATACCAACTTTAAAATCATAAAATACTGGAACAGAGAGATGCAAAAATCTCCTCCATTGCAAAGTTTCCAGAGCAAATTTAGACAAACATCTGCCAGAAATGAACTTGCTTTATTGATCCTACTTCAGGCCTAGGGAGGGACTCAGTTGGGCTTGCTTCCCATCTTATGTGTTAAGGACTCTAAGGTTAAGTTTTATTTCTTTTTTTAAAGGTGGGGGGAAGGACACAGAAAAGAGTATGAATCAAAATGAAACACCTCAAGGAAAATGAAAATTTACATAAATTATGTTTTTCCCCATAGGATGTTTCTTAATGTTTGGGTTCGTGCGTTTTTTATTTATTTGGAATGAACAGGGAGGGGCCTTTACCTACACACAGACTGACTTCTTTCCTTGTTATATTGACCCTGAATAATTTGAAATTTATGTTTTAGAGAGATGGGGAAATCACTTATCAAATCCTAAGAAAGCTGGAATATTCCCCCTACTCTAAACCCTGCAACTCTCTAGTCATCCAGTCAACCAAAAGCCCTCAGTGCACAGTTGCTTAATCTATTAACAGCAAAGTAAAACAATTTGCCACATTTTAAGTAAGTAAAATATTTCTGATAGCGCATACTTTACCAGTTATGTCGTGCTGTTTGAATGACTCACTGTAGATTTGATACTGATTAGGGCAATGTTTCTTCAGCCATTTGCAGACATCCTGCTGGGTCCATAATGCCACAGGCTTGGTCAGCTTCACAGTCCCGGACTAGAAACACGGAATGAAGAACAGAAATTATGTTTATTCGACACACAAGTTTCAGAAATATTTATCTGTGACATCCATATACAACATTCAAATATCCATGTTCAAACTCACAAGAGGGATGTCCATTTGTGTCCCAACTTGGATATAACCACGGAAAATCAGAAACATCCTCAGTCCAGGCATGGTCCTCAGCTACAATTAGGAAAGATCTTGCAACAAAGGCCTTTAGTGAAAACAAGCCTAAAGACTGGTTCTGCCTGAGAAAAGGCCAATGGAGGGAGAGCTGGGTTCATACCGAGCATTTCAGCTGACATTGTTTGAGCCATGTTTATAAGCAGCTATAGTTTTTCTGCTTCCTTTTTACCTTTAACCCTCCTACAACCACCTTTATATGAAATAAATAGGACTCCTGCTTAAAACAGTTGCTCCTTTATAATAAATAATAATTTTAAAAAGAACTCTGTTCAATACTTTCCTGTAAATTCAGTTTTATAATAGATGAAGTTTATACATAAACATTCATAAATTAAGTTGTTTGCATTATTATATGTACAAAGTCACATTTCATTTAATCAAACAATTCACCACTGCACATACACTTTTTTTAACCATACAAGAATGCTGAGTTCTAAGCAATCTGAACTGCAAAAAAAGAAAATATTTTAATTAAATAATTAATTTTTTTTGTGTGTTTTTTTTTTGTTGGTTGGTTTTTTTTGTAACACAGACTGCCTAGGAGACTAAGAAAATCTTAAACAGATGGGTGGTTATTACCAACAATAAATGTTTAACACTGGACATTGCTGGTGTAAGCAGGTATGAACACCAATGTATTCATTTACTTCATTATTTTGTCAAGGAACTGAGCCCGGGAAATAAAATCAAAGTGTCTCTGTTTCCATGCTATACATGCAGAATACTGTCCTCCAGCTCTCTGGTGGTGTAGTAGGTTCAAGAGAAATTTTTCTGCACAAATTTGAGGTGAAGAGGAATGTCATCCCAAGCCATCTTCTCCATTAGGGCTCATGGCAGATTCCTTCAATATTGCCAGCCAGAGTTTATCCCAGCATTTACACAGATGTACTCTGTCAGACAGACCTTTTCAAAGTTGCTTTAAAATTTTTCATTACTGGAAGCCCTAAGGACAAAAGCAGTTTTAAGCCAGTGCTTTGCATGTTCTATTAAGTCCATAAAGTACGTCATGCAAAGATAGTAAGTTAGGGCCAGGGAATATGGAAGACCTAAAAATCCAGCAGGCAAACGTGCCTTGAATTTCTCAAGTCCAATTGTCCCTATCTCTTTTTTATTGCCTATGTAGAAGTTAGAGAAATAGCAGGAAAATTACAATTGAATATATAACACAATGCACATCCCCTAGCTCAGCTTTTTTTGATTTAAAGAAAAATACGCTTGTCAGAAACACTAATAAGCATCATCCACATTTAGAGGTATCACAATAATGCAAAAAACACCCCAAATAATCATTCTCATTTCAAGCTGCGACCCACATACGTACAGCAGGCAGGAGCTTGACAGACCTGGCATCCACAGAGAAAGAAACTTCCAGAGGTGTTGAGAGTGTCCTATAACCAGGACAGCCCTTGCTCTACCTCTGCCCTTTCTGAGAAGCTCATCAGTCTTCTACACATACAGGAACCCCCATAGGTCTGGACAAGGGGCAACCTCTGTAGGGAGAGCAAGTGCCCTGTAACTCCTCCAAGCACCTCATGCAACTTGGAAGATCAAAGGCCCCTCTTTGAACTTTCTGGCCTGCTTGTTACTGCTGTTTGAGCCAGAGAAGAAACTGAATTTCAATGAAGAGCCCAATCTTATGGTATCAGCTGATTTTTATTGCATGCATATATAAATGTGTGTCCTTCACAAATACATCAAAGAAATAAACAAGTAAAAATAGCTGTATCACACTAACAGTCTCTCTGATTCCAGAGAAATCCCTGAACAACAGGGTCAAGACTTCAATGTCTATCTTTATATGAGTTACTGTTTAAAGATATTTCTTGAGCACTGGAATTTCTGAAGACTAGAGAAAAGTCTTTCAGTCCTTGAAAAATAAATTGGTTATGGGCTTTTCCTGTACATCATAAAAGTACTTAAATGACATATATTTGTATACAAATACGTATATAATAAAAATACTTAAATATTTGTATACAAATATGTATAACTAGCTACAGATTTACAGATTTTATTCTGAGCTGAAAGCACACAAGCAGTGCCAATGTTTGTTTTAACTGAGAGGCTGCTCTTTTCAGTTCAGCAACTCTTGTCCTCTTAAAAGGTATAAGCACCGTCATGTTAAATAGTTGAAGAACGAGTTTATCAACAATTACAGTACAAATTTAACACATCCCTCTGTGCCCATGGAACTGAAAGATGGTTTCAAATGTAGCTTTTAAGCTGTGCAATATACAGATCTCTGCACTGTAAACATACATGCTGACTTCTTACTGTCCAGTGTTCAGAATTACGATAGAAACATGTTGCACTTAAGCTTATAAATGCAGTCCAAAGATACATATTTACACTGACACCATCAAATATTAGGTTTAATTTTCTAATTCATAAGGACTTAATGAGCTAGAGGAATACACGGGTTTAAAAGCAATGGTTCCAGAAAGCATATTATAGTCACTTTCATTTTTGGAACATCATATCCAAAATTATTTCCCAACCAGATCCTCTAAATGAAAAGCTATTAAAAATATGCTTCCCTCCCACAACATTAATTTCTTCCTTTCTTCCCTGCTCTAAAGCTAGATCCCATACAAAAAAACAAAATCCCAGTAAACCAAGGAAAATTACCTTTACCATGAACATACCTATTAAATGAGTCTTCTGCCATTAACTACATGTAAATTATCTAGACAGGTGGAAAACACACTGTTTTATTTTATTTCTGTTAATCAGCTCAGTCAAACAACTGACCCAAACTGATTAAAACAAAATAATACATCAACAGTTATCTTTGGACTGGCCTTCCCTTCCATTTTCCTGGCATAATCACATCATAACACTACCTTTGCTGGCAACACTTTAATAGCTTTAATTCCGCCAAACACTATACCAACTCATGTGCAAGATACAGATCTAATGAGAATAAGTCTTCAATATTCTCATCTTTTCTTCTATATTTTAAGGAAACCCTTTTTCTTCAGGATTTCGTGACAAACTCTTCTAAATTGCCAACCCCAGTTTTTGCTCTGTGTATCTCAAAGTATAAAAGTGACTCCCAAGAAGAAGAAAAAACTACTGCATTTACTTCCGTGACAAAATTTTGCGCTCTCCTTGTTCCACAGTGCAGAGAAGACAGTATTTAAAAGCATCAACCCAAAAATAAATAAATAAATAAACAAATTGAAACTACGGCCATGCATTACAAGACAGCGTATGTCAGTGTTGAGAAGAGCATTAGCAATCAAGCCCTGCTATTGCTAAGCAATGACTTACAGGTTATCTCTTCAGCCTTTCAGGTGCAGTTTACCAAGCCTGCCAGTTTTGAAGGTCAATTTATTCACCAGAATTTCTTTGTCTTTATTTAGCATATTTTACTCCAGAAAGAAAGAAAGGCTTCTGTATTTTTGAGTGACGAAGGATTCAACCTCATTATTAAAACTATTTTACATACCATGAGACAAGTTATTTAAAAGAGCTTCTCTAACATTTTGTGTATTTACAAGCCTGCTCAGATTACAAAATCCAGGGATTGTGAAGATCAGGGTCCTCAGTCTAACAGGGCAGGTCTGCTAGAAGAAGGCTGCCTCATACTATTTGTAACATCCAGTTTGCCAGCATACTGATCCTGACATATAAGCAAAGTCAAGGAATATTTGCATTCAATTTATCCGAAGTCAGACCCTACAGTTTCTGTATGAAACAGACAGATAAAAGAGGCACTGATGAAAACATTAAAGCAGATTCTGCTCCCTCCCACATACATCTTGGGAGACTCTGCTCTGGAGTTTCCAGTTTAACTAGAAAAACACAAAGCAGAACCAATTTTGTCATGGTTTAACCCCAGCTGGCAAGTAAATACCACACAGCTGCTCATTTGCTCCCTCCCCCAGTGGGATGGCGGAGAATCAGGAAAAAAAGTTAAACTCCTGGGTTGAGATAGAAATAGTTTAATAAGTGAAACAAAGTAAAATATAATAATGATAATTAGTATCAATAAAATAATAATAGTAATTAAAAGGAAGGGGAGAAGAGAGAGAAATAAACCCCCAGTAAAACAAGTGATGACCCGCACAATTGCTCACCACCTGCTCACCAATGCCCATCCCATCCCCAAGCAGTGATCAGCCCCTCCCAGCCAACACCCACCCCAGTTTTCATACTGGACATGACATCCTACAGTATGGAATATTCCTTTGGCCAGTTCAGCTCAGCTCTCCTGGTTATGCTCCCTCCAAGCTTCTGGTGCAGCTCCTAAGGAACAGGGCATGAGACACTTAAAAGTCCTTGACTTGGGGTAAGCACAGCTTCACAACAACCAAAACATCAGTTTGTGACCAACATTATTTTCATATTAAATCCAAATCACAGCACTGTACCAGCTACTAAGAAGAAAACGAAGTCTATTCCAGCCAAAATCTGGACAGGACACAAAGCAAGGCCAGGCTGCAAGGAAAAGCATCATCGTTTATTAGACCAACAGTGTGGGTCCTGCCAGCTGTGTTTCAGACACAAATCTTCATACAGAGTAGATGTGGATACAACTGCTCAGTGTTGAACCATTATGTTAAATAAGTCAGGCACTTTGAGGGAAAAGGGGGCTGAGAGCTGCGAGGGGAGGTATGAGAAGAACAAAGAAAAGAAGCAGTAAGGTTGTTGCCACATAGCAGGGACAGAGAGAGCAAGATGGGTGGCTGTCACCCTGAGAATAATACAGGGTCAGCTGGGGCAGGAAACATTAAAATGTGTCAGAAAACCACTGATGTGTCTGTGACCAGAGAGACTGGAAGGAATAAAATGGAATTGTT